CCGTGTGTGGTCATATCATTGGAAAGGATGAGACCTTCCTGTCCTGATTGGTCCAGGGGCTGCCTGTGGATGGGACCGGGGGGTTCAGCCGTAAATGGCCGCTTTCCAGGAACTCTGTGGGCTGCAAGGTTGATGCTGGTGCCCTGGGTGCTGTGGGACCAAAAGGCCAACCCACCACTAACTGTCTGGCGGTCGGAGAAAGTGGAGAGGCAGCATCCTCCTGTAGCAGCTGATGCCTTACTACAGGCAGGGAACTTTTTCTACTGCCTAAAAGAAAGGTAATGCTTGGCTGAAGATGACTTATGCAAAGCTGGTGACTTTCCTGTAGAAAGCAGAAGTTCATGGTTATATAAAAACCTTCTTAAAACATCTACAGGTGTAACAGGCTGGAGGGATTTTGCCCAGGAGGTAAAAGGATGCAGGGGAAGGAGGGGGGCTGGAGAAATGTGCCATGCTGGGCACTGCCGTGACTGCTGGGGCATGGAGGCTCCTCTACTCTTGCACGATGCAAACTGTAGGAAAGGCTGTGTGTAACGTGATAGCTTTTGTTGATCCTTTGAGGAGGATGTGAGGCAGGATTTCCCGGCTGTGCTGACAGTCCTTGCTGCCATTGAGACCTGCATGGGGTCTTCCTTCTCTGAGCCGGGTAGGAAGGGACCTGCTGGAGGACCACGTCTCCTCTCGCTGTGCCGTGGTCCTTCAGGGACAAGGTGCTGAGCAGTTTTTCTTTCAAAGCATGATGTGCTCCTTTGGTTTGAGCTGTTTGTGATGCATAAAGCTTCCTTTGGCCAGAAAACATGAAGGTTTCTTTGATATGGCGTAGTCTAAGGCAGCCAGGGCTTCTGCAGCTGCCTGCCCCGGGATGGGGATGAGCACCCACCTGGGCTGCAAGTGCAGAGCTCACGCCGCATGGGGACACCTCCATGCCGTTGGGGACATCCTCAGCCATGGGTGGCTTTGGACTCTGCTCACGGTGGCATGGGGAGGTGGCTGGAAACAACAAAGACCTGCAGCTCAAGTGTAAACTTTTCTCTTTTTTTGTTCTCTCTATTCCCCAGATTATCCTCTTGATCTGAACCACAACGACACCTTTCTGCAAGCCACAACATTTCTTCCTGAAGACTTCACCTACTTCCCCAACCACACCTGTCCTGAGAGGCTCCCTTCTATGAGTGAGTAGCATCCCGACGACCCTGTGCCCCTCTCCTGCTCTCCATGGCTTTGGGGGGCACACCGTGGTGTTTCCTGGCTCACCAGCATTGCACCTTTCCCTGCTGGGCACCTGGGGAAGAAAGGGAGCACTGTTTGGAGCCCAGTCCCCTCCTGGGAAATCGCTGTTTACCCACTCACGTGAATTAATCCCTGCTGCATCAGGGGCACGTCTCCCTGCCGAAGCAGGAGCCCATCGCTTGGCAAATGCAAACAAAAGAGGGGTTGTGTGCTGGGAGCAGGTGAAAAGGCTCGACTAGCCCTTTCCCAGGGCGACTGGCGGCGGGGTGGCTCCCTTGCCCCTCGGCAGTGCTGCTGGTCCCAGTCCCGAGGTGTGCTGGGAGCAGCTGCGCAGGGGCTGGTGTGGGAGACAGGCTGGACCCCCCGCCCCCACCAAGGGAACTGCAGCCAGGAGGAATGCTTCCACCAAAGTGATATTGCAGTGGAAAATTTGGCTTTGGTGGGTAAATGTTTCCTAAAAGGGGAAAACTGCTCTCTGCTCAGGTCTGGGGTTTTGTGTCTACTGGAAACCTGTACGGAGAAGTAGAGGGGTGCCCCAGCTGGTGTGGGTCTCTGATGGAGAGCTGCATCCAACAGCGGCCACAAAGGCTGAACAGAGCCAGGCTGCCAGGGAGATGGAGGTGTTACAAGTCATGCCAGCAGTGTTTCCTAACCATTCCTATTGGTGCTTGGGGAAAAGAAGAGGCTGCCTGCATTCAGTGCTGGTGGTGGAGGGCAGGGATGCAGCAGAGCGCTGCCCTGAGCAGGCACCGAGTCGACCCAGGACCACAGCGGTTCCTGACCCCCTCCTCTGCTTCTCCCCGGCTGTCTCCGCAGAGGGCCCCATCGATGTAAATATGAGCGAGATCACGATGGAGGATATCCACCAGTTCTTCTCAAAAGACCCTTCCATCAAGCTGGGAGGCCACTGGAAGCCAAGTGACTGCCTGCCTCGCTGGAAGGTAACCGGGGAGCTGGGGAGCCCCGTGTCCCTGCTGAGTGTGGAAGGTCCTGGGCGGGCGGTTGGAAGACACTAATGGGAATGTCTCTGACGTGCTGAAGCCCCACGGTAATAGTTACAAGCATCTCTGAAGTGTGGGGCTGCAGTGCCTGGGGGGGAAATGCTGGTGCGTGAGTCAGCTCTGAGTTTCCTCAGGGACTGCTAAGGAGCAGGGCAGGGAGCTCGCCCACCTGCTTCCCCGCTGCCGAGCCTCCTGCTCCCCCCACCGCCCCGGCTGGGGTGGGATGCGGCCCAGAGAGGCACGGGGGCACTGCTGGGGACTGCCATCCCTGGAGGGAGGTGGCTTCGGGCAGCGTGGTAGCAGGGCCTGGCCCCACTCCCACTGTCCCCAGCGCTGGGCAGAGGGGGGGGGGGGGGCCCTGCCGGTCTCCCTCCCACTCAGAGTTACACTGGATTTCCCCAAAGCAGCAATACCCCAAAAAGTAAATAGGAAAGCTGTAATGTGGGGGTAGAAAAGCTGCTCCAGTCCTACACAGGAGAGCCAAGACACCATGTTTAGTCCCACAACACCAGCCAGTCCCGCTGCCAGCCCGGGGGTCAGTCGGTGGCAGGAGCCACTGGTGCGGTGCAGTAAGAGCCATGTCCTTTCCTCATCAGGTGGCGATCCTGATCCCATTCCGCAATCGATACGAGCATCTTCCCGTCCTCTTCAGACACCTTATTCCCATGCTGCAGCGGCAACGTTTACAGTTCGCCTTTTACGTTGTAGAACAAGTGAGTGAGCTGTGGGGCGGTCGGGGCGGCAGGCGCTGGGGCAGGGACGTGCTGCACTAGAGATGACGTCTGCTGGAGCTTCAGCCAAAGCTGCAAGCGTAGCTCTGCACTGTGTCCCGAGGCATTTACCTGCCAGATCACATCACTTAAAGATTTAGCGTTCGTGTTGCAATGTTTTGAGTTGTCCCATTCTGCCTAAAAGTGGCACATCTGAGATGTGTGCCCAGAAATGACTTTATCTAGCAAATAAAGCAGAGATTCGGGATTTTTTTTTTTTAAACTATAATGGAGTAGATATTTTTAAAAATAAGACAACTTTGAACCAGGTATTTGCAGTTTAAATAACGCTGTGTTGTTTTTGTATGTCTTTGTAGTAGTTGTGGGGAGCGTTCCCTAGGCAGAGGAATGGCCTGACCAGAGTTACACATTGCATGTCTGGGCAGTGTCTGGAAGACTTTCGTGACAGTACAACATAAGCCTGTCATTAGATGTGTATGTGAACCTGTCACTTAAGCTATCTGGCTTCATCTGCCCAGTAAATATACCTCCATGTTTAGCTCTGTCTTAAAAAGATTTATCAAAGTTGTTTGGGTTTTTTTATTCCAAGCGTCTGAGTAAGAAGACTTCAGCATCTTTATTTTTGCTCCTGCACAGCAAATTGAATATTGAAGTCTTGGTGGATCTCACTAGTCTGTTTGTTCCAATACGTCATTTCCTTTTGCACAACCGATTTGGGAGCAGGTTGCTCTGTGCAGTTTTCTAGGCAAGACTGAGAATGCATGTGTGGAGCTCGAGCTGCACGGGACTCCACTTGAGAAGGAACTCTCTCTCCCCTAGGCTGGAAACCAACCCTTTAACCGTGCCATGCTCTTCAACGTTGGCTTTCGGGAAGCAATGAAGGACTTGGACTGGGACTGTCTCATCTTTCACGATGTGGATCACATACCAGAAAATGACCGTAACTATTATGGGTGTGGACAGATGCCGAGGCACTTTGCAGCCAAGCTGGATAAGTACATGTATCTGTAAGCACTGGTCTTCCTCCGCACTGCCGTAATAGATAAGGAGCCAGTTTTAGGTTATGTTTTTAAAAGGCAGAGGGTGACTCTGAGTTTGCTTCCCATGCTTTGTGCAGAGTAAACATGAGAGGGGAACAGAAGGAATAGCATCCTCACAGTTTGGGCTTTCCCCATTGCAAGCGGGAGAGCTGCAGCGCTGGCAGGCTCTGCCCTAACCCCTTCTCTCCCGCTTAGGCTCCCTTACAACGAATTCTTTGGTGGGGTGAGTGGCCTGACCGTCAAGCAGTTTCAGAAGATCAATGGTTTCCCTAACGCCTTCTGGGGCTGGGGTGGCGAAGACGATGACCTCTGGAACAGGTAACGGGCTCGGCTCAACCGGCATCCCTGAACTCTGCTTCTGGTGGTGGCTCTGCGAGCCAGACTTTGCGCGTGCGGTGTGGGGAAGCATGGTCACTGCTTGGCTCGGGGGGGCTGGGGCCCGCCCCAGCCTGTGCAGGCAGTAGGCTGGAGGCAGAGAAGCACTGGTTAGGAAATTACTGGCTTTGTGGGCAGGATCCCGCACTGCTGAGCTCAAACCGACCTCGGCTGAGCTGAAGCCTTGAGGTGCCGAGCACTGTGTGACTTGCTCAGAGCCCAGGCTGGAGTGGGGAGGTTTGCACAGCTTATCTGCTGGGTGGAAAGGCAAAGCTGCTTTAAGAGCTCCAAGCACGCTAACTCTGCAGCCCTGGCAAGCACTGATGGCACAGCAAATGCAGCAGTTAATTTTTGGGGTTTTTTTATATTTATTTTACTTCTTTCCTTTCCAACGCAGAGTACAGTACGCAGGCTACTCGGTGACTCGACCAGAAGGAGACACAGGGAAGTACAAATCAATTCCCCACCATCATCGAGGAGAAGTGCAGTTCCTAGGAAGGCAAGTGAATTTCAAAAAAATAGTAAATTTTTAAGGATCCCAAAGCCCTTCACAAAGTGTCTGTACTGTGTACGAGGCTCCCTGCAGCTGTTTGAGGGCAGTAACAGCCTTAACTTGTGAAGGAAACTTACTGCAGCAGATGACAGAGGCAGAGCACTGCCTGGATTCCTCCAGTATGTTTTATACCCTGCATCCCTACGACGAGGGGTCCTCACTTTGTGGCTGTACCTGCTTGGATGCCATCCAAAAGAGAGGCTTGTCAGCATGTCAGACTGAAGACATGTCCTATATATTTATACCATTTTATATAAAAATATTTATATAATATAAAGATACTTGGCTAATGCCAAATGTCAGAGAAGCTTCTGTGTTTCTAGAAGAGGCTGATGGAAGTGTTGAAGGAGGCATTGCTCAGCCTGCAGAAGGCGGAGAGTGGGGCAGCGTTCAGGGTTTCGAGTCAGAGGGAAGCACTTGCACTGATGGTGTGTGCAAACAGGGAAATGGCAGCAGCTCCAGCACAGTTCCACCACAGTGCTGAGATCATAGAATAGTAGAATGCTTTGGGTTGGAAGGCATCTTTAGAGATCACCTAGCCCAACCCCCCTGCAGTGAGCAGGGCCATGTTCAACTAGACCAGGCTGCTCAGAGCGCCGTCCAACCTGTCCTTGAATGTTGCCAGGGATGGGGCCCCCACTGCTTCTCTGGGCAATCTGTTCCAGTGTTTCACCACCCTTATCATAAAAAATTTCTTCCTTATATCTAGTCTATACCTACCCTCCCTTAGTTTAAAGCTGTTGCTCCTTGTCCTATCGCAACAAGCCCTGCTGAAAATATTTTCCCCGTCTTTCCTGTAGGCCTGTGCTGAGGGCTCCAGAGCTGGATGCAGGACTCCCAGGGACGTCTCACCAGAGCAGAGGGGCATAATCCCCTCCCTCGTTCTGCTGCCCACGCTGCTGGGGATGCAGCCCAGGGTTTGGTTGGACTTCTGGGCTGCCAGCGCACATTGGTGGCTCATGTCCAGCTTTTCATCCACCAGTACTCCCAAGTCCTTCTTGGCAGGGCTGCTGTCAATCCCCTCATCCCCCAGCCTGTGTTGATAGTGGGGGTTGCCCTGACCCAGGTGCAGGACCTTGCACTTTGCCTTGTTGAATAGCATCCTCTGCTTCTGGTGTGTCAGCTCATCCCTCTTTGTTCTTCTATTCCTGCCTCTTGGCCCCAGACCAGGCTGGGTGTACAGAGCCCCTGAATTCAGGGTTTTTCTCTTGTGAGATTTCGGACACCCATCAGGAGCAGTAGCTACCCTGGTGTGTGAGGAGCACAAGTACTGCGTGAACGCTTTGTCCTTTTTCACAAAGAACCTAAACTCTCCCTGGAGCTTTCCAGGAGGGCTCCGACCACTTTATGCCGGAGCCAGGCTTGTCTTGAGGAGTAGGAGGGTTGGTCGAATGTCTGCTTTTGCCAGGGGACCTGGATGGAATTTGAGTCTTCTGAAAACTATGCAGCAGAAAACTGGAGAAATACTGTTTTCACAAACAACTGCAGGAATTAAAACTCATAGGTGACGAGCTGCTGGACAGTGCAAGCTCTGCTCTGCAGAGGGGCACCTGGCCACTGCTGGCAGAAGGGGCAGCAAGGAGGGTTTACGTTGCAGACACCATTTGAGCTAGCTGCTAGTCTCTTTTTACAGCAGACTCGTATTTGGTGGAGTTTCCATTTGAGGTTATGTCATCTTTAGCCCTAGTTTTCATTTCTCTGCCACGCAGAATGCAGTCAGCAAGAGATGCTGCTTTTATTTCAGTCTTGAAAAGAAGAAGTCGGTTTTGGCTTTAGTCAAACCCTCGAAGCGTGGAGGGCTGGGAGTGCAGTGGGATTGAGCTCTTGCTGCTAACGGTGCCCTGGGCTCCTGACCCCAGCCAGGAGCCCTAGTTCAGTGTCAGCAGGAGCTGTGGGGCAGTGCTGCGGGAGGGGGATCCGTGGTGAGGATGGGCAAGGCAGCGCTTTGCCCTGCTGAGGCCGATGCCCGTGCTGCTGAGCGCTCCTGCCTCTGGAGCAGGACAGCCAGCCTGGGTGAGGCTTAGCAATGGATATCCTTGGTGTCCCGCCTCTGGAAGCTCTGCTTCCCTCTGCTCTGCACGTACCCACAGGCAAGTCCTGACTGCTGCCGTCGGAGAGCCCTGCTGCCTCTCCCACCCAAGCACCCAACGCTCCTCACCATGGAGAAGGAAAATGTTTGTCGAGGCGCTAAGTGCCCATGTCCTGATGCTGTGACCTCTTTGAAACCAGCTTTGGCCCTCTTTGCTCTCACGCAGCATCTTCCTCTTCCTCCCGACACATCCCTTCCCTGGTGCTGTTTCTGTCCCCGGGTCTCAGCCCCAGCTCCCACTCGCCCTGGTGCCGCCAGGTCCCCAGCACTGCGGTGCAGAAAGACAGCGTCCTGTCCTGCCGAGATGTTTCTGCTTGTTTTATTTTTTTTTCCCCTCCCACCCTTAGCCCTTGTATCTCATCATGCTGCCCCTAAATTTGGTGGAGGCTGATTTTGTGCACCAGCTGCAGTTTCCTTCCCCAAACCATCATTCTTCTTGTTTTACTTCCTCGTCTCCCATCCCTCAGACTAAAACCATTTAGTTCTGCTCTTGTTTTGTGGTTCAGCTTCTTAAAAATGGCAAGGACCGCATCACCCATCAGCTGCTTTTCTCCAGGGTGTTTTGACTGGTGAGGGCTTGATGGGACCCCCCGAGCTCAGTCCCCTCCTGGGAATGGGACCCGCAGGCTTCGGGCAGGAGTTACAGGTGGTTTTCACAACGGAATGCTTGCTGGTGGCACAGAGAGCATTTTGCTTTTCATCAAGTGATGGACTGTAATTCTCTAAAATTTGGAATATTCACCAATATAGAAAAACGAGGTGGTTATCTTTATTAAGGGCTCAGAAATTGGTTGGTTTGTAGCTGCTGCTGGGACTGGCTGTTTTAAGGGTGTTTTAGTAGTGTTGGGAGGACTTTGCAGGGCTCTGTGGGGTATGTGGAATTGACTCTGACCTCTGATTCTCGTTGCACAGGTATGCCTTGCTGAGGAAGTCAAAAGAAAGGCAAGCCCTGGACGGCCTCAATAACTTGAACTACTTTCCAAACGTCACGTATGACGCCTTGTATAAGAACATCACTGTTAACCTGACACCGGAGCTGGCTCTGGTGACGGAATATTAAGAGGAGAAAATAACTTTGCTCCGCCCTTCACCAAGAAAGCACCATGCTAGACTTTCTTTTCCAAGGGTTATTGAGGACAAGCAACACTTTGTCTAATGAAGGATCACAGTATTTTGGAGAATAAGGCTGAAAGCGCACGCACAAATTGCCCTAGCTGTACCAATCCAGCCTGATACTTGTGCAGCGAGCTCAGCACTCTCTTTCTTTTTTCCGCCACTTGCTTTCTGGGTTTCAGAACATCGGTTCAACCTGCTGCTCTTGTCTCCACATTCCTCCTCCAGCAATCTCTGGCACTGGGACTTGCCTCGGACGCCCTTTCTCCTCCAGGGAGCGGCTCAGCTGAGGGACTCTGGCTTCTCGGCAGTGAAGGTCGGGAGCGATTCGGTCGGCAACTGCCCTGCTGGGAGATCAGAGGACTTCTGATACCATTCTTCTACGTCTGTGAGGTTTTTTAAATGACCTGCTTGGAGTATATACAACAGAATCGCTTCTTAAAGAAGTGTAAGTGTAAATACGCTGTGTAAATTGCCCCTTTTTATTTTTCTCCTATGGCTCAAATCCAAGCTAGAGGTTTACATACGGTCACTCATTTTAGTCCTGAATTCTGTAAACACTTGTGTGTGCATCACTGTACTTGTGCACGGTGTTCCCTTTTAAGCCAGTGAGACTGCTTGCCTGATTTAAGTTGTGCATATGCAGAAATGTTTGTGCGACAGGGCTCTAACTTTCCAGTGTGGCGGATGAGAAACACAGCCGTGTCATCACGCACTCCAGACCACGAGGGTGGCTTTTTCCAGGGAGAGTGAGGAAATGGGGAATATTTATGGAAAAACTCCCCTTTCTGTCACTTCTGTAACATGATGTGCGAGTGAATCCAAAAGCCACAGGGAAGAAAATCCCTTGCCTGTTGCTCTCCATCCCACTGATGGCAAGCGTGAGCTTGGCAGATGGCTCAAGCGCTCGCCTCCACGCTGCTGCGGGACGTGCAGCCCT